AGTTTCGAAACATTAAACTAAAATGGGTGTTTAGCAAGCAAGCGGAGTAACAATCTAAGAGTGTGCTGAAGTGTGTATCGATTTCAAAATTATCTTGATCTTTTTATTGAAATATTTAGTTTTTGTACCCTGCTTTCTTGAGCTCTGTAGCATAGACTATGATCTATTCACTTAACATAAATTTTGGAATAGAAATAAAGATGATTTAAATGGGACAAATCCATCAACTTGCGGGGTTATATATAATACACAGATTTAATTTGTTAAAGTGTAAAAAAGGAGTTGAAAATGTAAAGTCCATAGAGTATTTGGACTAAGGTTTTAAAAGGTAAAGTTGAAATTTGTTTTAATGCTTCATGTTTGCTTCAAAGTGAAGGTCTTAAAAAGCCTCAAGAAAATTGCAAGAGGCAAGTTTTATGAGTAGTAAACAATTAGGATGTGTTTGATATGTCCAGAAATATTTTCTAATTTTCTCTTAGGTCGGGATTGGGTTCGGATCTCGAGATTATATTGTTAGGATCGAAATACCCAACACATGTTCCAATTCGATGCAGCAATATCGAAAATCATTTGAACTGTCCAATAGAATTATATTTGATACACTATAATGTTGGATGTTAAATGAACTTTTTAGCTTTTAAAATGAAATCAAATTTAGTAGTCGTAATTCAATGAAGTGTAATTAGTAGAAGCTCAAAGGGTCGTCAACCGAGACGTTAATGTTCATTAATATAATGCGTCTGTTTGAAATTCAAGTATTCCAGCAAGCAGTTGTATTATTTTTAGCGCCAAAATGTTCACAAAACAGAGCAACTCAATTTTCAGCAGGAGTTCAAAGCAACAGATCAAATATAATGGCTTACATTCCGCCGCACAAGAGGCAAGCAAAGGGCTTTCCGTTGTTGAATCCAACTCCAGCACCGGACTTTCTTATGCCTAATAACTTCAGAAAGAGCGTTAATCTCAAGTCGTTTGGGGAGCAGAACAATTTTCGAGGAAAGACCATCGTTTACAGAAAATTCGCTGTTTCGAAATGGTTCTCCGTTGGCTTGGCTGATTTTCGTCTCTTGTCAGCCTCCAACCTTTTTCTGCAGACTACTTTGATGGAAATCCAGACAGAAAAGCTCTATCATTGGTTCTAATGGAAGGTATAACTTTTTTCTTTTTCACCGGAAGAGTAGTTTTAGATATGTATGTCCTAATGTATCTGTATTTTCATCAATTTCTAGTTGTCTGCATATTCGATTTGTGTACAACCTTATATTGAATTGAATTGGTGATCGACACACAGTGATGAACATGGTTGAATATACACATTAGATTCATGAATTCACATTACATTTATGCTTTTGAGATGTTAATTATTTCAGTTTTCTTTAAAATATTTATGCTTTTCTAGGTTGCAGTGAAGGAATAACGAACGAGGTTATGGATACACCATTGCTTTTGATAGCTACAAATGGGGTTAAGGGTCTGAAAAATACCCAACTTTGGTCGAATTTGCTGTTGCGATACTAAACTTTCATGAGGACCTATTACCTCCCTAGACTATTTAATAGTGTATTTTTTACCCCCTGAACTATTTAATAGTGTATTTTAAAGTTATATATGTGTCCACGTGGACACATTACTATTTATAATTTTGCATTATTTTTTATGTCCACGTGGGAAAATATATATGTTTAAAATACGGTATTATATAGTCTAGGGAAGTAATAGGTCCTCATGAAAGTTTAGTATCGCAACAGCAAATTCGACCAAAGTTGGGGTAATTTTTAGACCCTTATCCCCTACAAATGTGAAGAAGGATTTACTTTTGCCATTTCAACATATGAAGCATGAGATGGAGGAAGCTGATATGGCACAAGTAAAGCCCTCTGTAGTTGCTCGTTTCGGAAAAATTCTCTTTCATGGGTAAGTCTTCTTCTAATCACATGTCATCATGTTAGGAATTTATAACGACTGGAATCGCAACAATGTATCATTTGAATTCAATATTTATTGTGAATATTTGTTTGTAGTCTTTGAATCAAACTGCATGTGTACAGGAATTCCTCAATTTGTGAAGAATCCCAGGAAACTACCCCATTGAGTGAAGCAAATGTTAGAAAAATGACACGGAAATTTTATGCAAATTCTCCTGCTGCATTTACGGATTACATAGAACACCGAGTTGTTGAGAAACTTGAGCTAGAATATGTGAAAGGGAAAGAATTGTACAACATACGGGTATGATTTTCAAGCTTCAAACAAATGTCTTCCTCCTACTATATTGCTTCCTTTAGCTCTATTTATCCTTTTGTTTTTGTAGCTTTCTGATAGGTTGCGACCTAATTCATTTGTTACCTGCAAATGTACTGTGGCCAAAGATTATAACAAGATTGAGCTCTATAAGGTTAGTACTTTGTTCCTGCTGCTTCTTGATCAAGCATTTTCTAGTATCTTGTAAAATACCTAATTAACTACTTATTTATATGGTTGGAAAAGCATTAACAATTATCACCATCATTCTTTAACAAAACGACTCCCTCTGACATGAATCCCTTTATATTAAGATTGAGTTGAACAGCGTACGCCACGCCACATGGTAGCAGATATGAGCTGTCTTGGAAAGAGTTCAGATCTGAGGTTGATACTATATACCAAGAAAATCAACATTATTTTATCTGTAAGTTATGCAATAAACTTTTCTATGTTTCCTTGTAGAATTTAATGAGTGTTGTGATTTAGTTTGCATTTTCACAGGATGAACAGATCAATGGAATTAAAGATCTTATTGGTTCTGCTGTTTTGGATTCAGAAGTTCAGGGCGGCTTGAGAGTTGAGATGGCCCATTGGCAAGGATTCTTTAGGTGGTCGATCTGTTGTTATTGGTATCGGTCACACAACTGCAAAATCATATAGAAATTCATCAATTAGATTTAAGCTTCGGCATGCAGATCCATTTGATTTCAAATCTTCAACTGGTGAGGTTACACAGGAGATTTTCTTGAAAATGCCTGGAATTATATCAGAGTTACGAGTATGTTCTCTTTCCGTACTTGCAATAACATTTCTTTTTCCTTTATAATTTTGGATGTCACTGCATGATACACATGATGGTATGATGTTGCTCCAAACCATATTGTAGTGTTGTTAGCATCATAAGCTTAGACTATTGGAGTATATTGATTTGATTTTCATTCTCTTACAAAAAATGCAGAAGCAAACAATGGACGAAGATCTGATGTTTGAAATGCTGGAAAACAACTTGAAGTTAATATGGGATCTTTGTTTGTTGGATGGTTCTTCAAGCTGACCATGTTTCGTGCCCCTTCTAACAAAAACACTAAAATGTTATTGCACTATATATGTGTAGTTTTGGAATGGCACGAATTAAGCAGTGCACAAGATGTTGGTAACTTAATTTAGATTCCACAAAGTGCACACGTGTTGATCATGACATGTGTGCTTGTAGACTCTTCTGCAGTATAGTAAATAGTACTTCCTCCGTCCCATATTAGATGGGCATCATATTAAAAATGTTTGTCCTATATTATTTGAGCACTTACTAAATTAGGATAGAATTAATTAATTTTTTGCCATTTTACCCCAACAATTAATATGGCCTTTGGATTCCCAATACTAATCATTCCTATATTCTATGTGTATTTTTTGTAACTCATTTTAATGTGCATTGATATAAACAAAAGGCAAAATGGTCAATTCTTTCAATGTATTAATGATTTCTTAATTACCGTGTAAAGTTGAAAGTGCCCATCTAATATGAGACGGAGAAAGTAATATGTTGTTTTATATAACTATGAAGTCAAAATATTGATTTAAATGTTAATAAAGAATAAAGCATCAATCAATAATAGACTTTAAAGTTTTTATAGGATAAGAATGAATAGAAGAGTTGTCTTGAGCATGAGTATAAATATAATTTAAAAGTTATGATCATTAAAAGTGGTTTGGGCGTGGGACTTCCATGTTGGAGGTCTCAAGTTCGAAACCCCTTGCCAGCGAAAGCAAGGGGTTTGCCTTCTGGGTTGAGCTCGTCGCACCGGGCTTGCCTAGTGTGGGTTATCTCTCCTATGTAGTTTGTGAGCTATTGCATAGGAGCGGGGGTTTACCCTGTGTGCACCCAAAGGGTAGCAACTGCGGATTTTCCTTGTCATCAAAAATAAAAATAAAAAATTAAAAGTTATGATCATTAAAAGTGTAATGAAAATAAAGATAATTAAATTTTTATATTGAAGAATATAAAAAGAAATAGTAAGTGATACGTTTATTTTTTATAATAATAAGAAGTAAATAAAAAAAAACATATCAAAAGAATGAGAGAAAAAAAATAGGATCCTTGATAAAAAAAAAAAGGGGGAGTAGGATCATATTACTTTTCTTGTCTAGTTTACTCTAAGCCCTAGGTCTATCCGTGAGTAAATTGGCAGAATTAACTCCAAAGGTCAATATGGTTAACTAAAATACAAAGAAGATTAGTAATGTGAATGTTCATTTAATTTTCATAAAAAAATTTCTATAGAAAAGGCTTAACTATGTCATCAAATTTGAGAAAAAGGCTCAATTATGTTATACATTAAAAGTTTGACTCATCTATATCATTTTCGTTTGAGAAAAGACTCATTCAAGTCATAATTTTTTAATGGAAAACAATTTCGATTTTGCAAAACCATTTTTTATATGTGGTCAATTATGATTCAGTCACGCCATTAATTAAAGGAAAAAGACTCAAACATGTCATCGAACTTTGAGAAAATGTTCATCTATGTCATCTGTTAAAAGTTTATCTCATCTACATCATTTCCATTTGAAAAAAAAAAAAAGGATGATCCTTACCATTATTCTATGACCCTATTCTTAAAATTTGATTAGATATTTTAAATTTTTTTCCTTTTTTCTATTTGAAAAAGGTTTAAAAGAGAATAATATAGTACAAAAAAAAAAAGAAAAGCTATACCTTATCATAAATAATTACACTATTGACAGATGCCTTGTTTCCTTTTCCATAATAACCGGCCCTGAAGTTACGGTATAGTTCTTCTTCCATACAAGTGAGTAGCATACACACCTAGCTAGCAGCAAGTGATCAACTATAATGTCTTACATTCCGCCACACAAGAGGCAAATAAAGGGACTCGCCATCGCTTGAACCAACTCCGGCACCGGAGTCTCTCATCAGATCTGCTTTTAATAAGAGAAAGGATAACAAATTTCGAACTAGGAATGTCGGTTATAATGATCATACTATCTTAAATGGTTCTCTGTTGGCTTGGCTGATGAGTTGAGATTTTCATCTCTTGTTAGTTTCCAACCTCTTTCACCAGAGTCTTTTGAGACAAAAGCAGGCCTACAGCCTCTCTCTTTGGTTTCAACTCATCAAGGTACTATATATATATATATATATATGTTGTTTAATTATAAACCCGATCATCGTTTTTGATATCCAAAATGTTAGGGGTGAAATGTGTTTTTGATGATAAATTTGGTTGAATGATTTTATAAGATAAAAAATATTAAATTGAGTGACTTTATTGATAAAAATACTAACAGAGTTGAGTGACTCTACATTTTTAGATATTTACTCAATTTGCTTCTTATAATGGTTTTTTTTTTTTTTGGCAAATGCTTCATTAATTGTTTCTAGTACTTGTATAGTGTTTTCAACTTCTTCAACGTGACCTACAAGATGAATTCAATTTTGGTTGGGTTGTGTCTAATATCTAAGAAAACCCTGGAAATACTAATTTTCCTAACGGAGGTAAGGGGGGAAAATAGAAAAAACTTTTTTTTTCAGATGATTTTTCTATTCTTATGTTGCTTTAATTGATACAATTGTTTTTTTTTATATATATATAAATATTGCAGCAAAAATGATTGGAAATATAGATTAAAGCGTCTCTCGATAATTTTATTGAGCAAGGGATCAATTTGCATGATTTAAAATTTTAAAAAAAAGTGCAGCATAATTTTTTTATGTATATAATATACCTTGAGATAGACATATATTTTATTAATTAGGCACCCAAAGAGACTGAACCTATTTTGGTATATTGGTTTAAACGTTGCACACCTCTGAGGTGAGGGGACTAGGCTCAAATCCCATTTACTAGCTAGGAATGGCTAGTTTCGAAGTTGTGATCTCACGGTGCAAATTGAAGTTCAAAACCACCACTCTACAAAGCAAATTTTATCTGGTAGTCATTTAATTCATATTTATACGTTAGCATATTATAATTAGTTTTATATTTTTATGTTTAGTAAATTATCATACACTAACGTGCATTAGCCGACGTTGGTGGTGCACTCATTGTCTTCAGATCATGGGTTCGCCTCTGCTTTAGTGATGCTCATTAAGCTATATATCTATAATTTTGCAGGTTGCAGTGAAGGAATAAAGAATGAGCTCATAGAAACACCATGGCTTTTGATTGCTGCAAATGTGAAGAAGGATTTACTTTTGTCATTTCAACATATGAAGCGTGAGATGGAGGAAGTTGGTATGGCACAAGTAAAGCCGTCTGTAGTTGCTCGTTTTGGAAAAGTTCTCTTTTATGGGTCAGTCGATCTTCTTCATTTAGTTCACATGTTATGCTTTTATCGTCGTGTTAATTAGGAATTTTAATATTTTTCTGTTCCGAGAAACAACACTTCGTATCTTTTATAGCAATTAAGTATCAAATACCTCATATATCATATGTATCATGCTGCTTACTTTGTTGTGTTTGAAGCATTATTTTGTTAGGTTATTCGTATACGAATGCATGTTTCAAAATACTTGTCATGTTCTTTGTTATGCAGGATTTCTTCAATTTGTAAAGATAGCCTAAAACTTCACTCACTGACTGAAACTACTTTGAGAAAAATGTAAGGATCTTTCCATACGGATGTTCCTCCTTCATATATGGACTATGTAGAAAATCGAGTAGTGGAGAATCTTGGACTAGAATATGTGCAAGGGAAAGAACTGTACTATGTTAAGGTATATGCTACTTTCAAGCTTCTAAAAAATGTCTTCGCCCTACTGTATTCTTTCTTTATCCGTGTTTTTTTTGTAGCTTTCCGATAACTTGAGGACTGAATCAACTGTTTCCTGCAAATGTACTGTGGCAAAAGATCATAACAAGATTCAGCTCTATAAGTTTAGTACTCTAAACCTTTTATGCCTGCAATGTCGCGTAACTGTCATTAACATATTTATACCTATCTCCTTTTTTTTTAAGATTGAGTTGAACCGAGTACGCCACATGGTTGCAGACATGAGCTGTCTTGGAAAGAGCTCAGACCTAAGATTGTTTGTATATACAAAGAAAATCAAGATGGCTTTATCTGTAAGTTATTTACTCCATTCAAATATAGAGATGTTTGTTATAGGCTCAAGATGTTGATGAATATTTTCTATCAAAAGCTCTTTTGGGTCCTCTATATATAAGGATTGAACTCTTGATTTCAACCTTCTCGCGACTGTCGTATGTAATTCTTTTATTTGGGTGTTTACAATAGTATTATGTCTTTCTGTGAGTACTGTGGTTTAGATAGTTCTTCACATTTTTTAGGATGAGGAGATTAATGAAATTAAGGATCTTATTGGTTCTGCCATTGTGGACTCAGAAGTACCGGCTGGTTTAAGATGGCCTTTAAACAAGCGCCATTCTTCAGGGGGTCGATATGTTGTTAATGTTATTGGTCACACAACTGCAAAATCATATAGGAATTCATCAATTAGGTTCAAATTTCGACATGCAAATTGATCTAAATTCAAATCCAGGGGCGGCTCTAATAAATCGGTGGCCTAAAGCCAAATCCGAATAGAGCCTTAAATTCAAATATATTTTTTTATGAAGTTTATTATAGCCAATTATTTAATTTTTCTTGAGACATCATAGTACTCATAATTTATCAAACTTCTATTACTTATTTGCTCTTTTATGAAAAGTTTATATTTTCTATAAATAATACTCGATATTTTTAAAAAATATATATGTATAGCATATATATTGTTTTTAAAATGAGGCCCCTCAAATTTTGGGGCCTAAGGCGGTTGCTTTTTTTTCAAAGGTGTAGAGCCGCCACTATTCAAATCTTCAACTGGTGAGGTTACACGGGAGATTTTCCTGAAAATGCCTGGAATTGTATCAGAGTTACCCATAGGTTCTCTTTTCCTTTTGACAAGCAATTATGAATCTCATTTTATTTTATGTTTTCCGATTTTGGATGCCTCTGGATGCCATCAACGTTGGTTGTTGTTGCTCGAAATCATAGCATAGTATTTAGCATAAGCATTGACTTGATCATTTGATTTGATTTTTGTTCTCATACCAAAAATGCAGAAGCAAACAATAGACGAAGATCTGATGTTTGAAATGCTGAAAAACAACTTGAAGTTAATATGGGATCTTTGTGTGTTAGATGGCTTGAACTCACAACCTTAGAGTTGAAAGTGAGGGTGCTTATCAATGGAGCAACTCGTTCTTGTCTGTAATTAGCTTTGCTGTTAAGCTGTAATGAATAGAATATCTTACTTGAGTTGTCACATTTCGTTTTACATATGATCTTCGGCACTAATAAATCATTGAACAATTAAACAAACTAAGTTGCTCGGACTCTTCAAAAATATTGCATCATCCATGTTGGGATCCTTAAAAAATGCACTACTTTAGAAGGAACTGTGTGATAAGATTTTTGAAGAGCCCGAGCAAGATAGATAGGAACTGTATATATGATTCTAGCTTTCTGTAACATCCGACTATTTGAAATAACTAAGAAGAGGCTTAGAATTTGAAATTTTCATTTTTTGGAAAGAATTTGAAAATTCTGGAAAATTTTGGCTAAATATGGAAAAGATGAGTTTTTTTGCCAACTTTGAACAGCCATAAATTCTAGCTCAGGATGGGTTAGGTGGAGTTCCGGTTATGGTTGCAAAGTTCGTGGAATGATATTTCCAACGCCACCGAGTTTTCCCGATTTCGAGTTCGTATGAGTGAGATATACCCTTTGAAAGTTGGGCAGTTGGCAGGGGATCCGTCCGGAAATTTAAGGGCATTTTGGTCTTTTCACAAATCATTTCTTTTGGGGTTATATTGTTGTGTTAGGCTTATTTTGGATCATTTTTGTCCCATTTTAAAAGAGTGAGAGCTAGGGCTTGAGAGTGAAGAGGAGAAGAAGAGGAGAAAGAGAAGATCAAGCAAGGAGTTCCCGTCAAGGATCGTCGTGGATATCGTCGGGGGTGATCCCTCATTAGGTATGTGAGTTCATAGTGTTGGGTTGATCCTTTCCCCCACAGGCCAAACTTGTTTTATTTTCGAGAAAAGATTGGTAATGTTGTTGAAGTTGTTGGGTTGTGTTGTTGATGTTGTTGATTTTGTTGTTGAAGTTTGTGGTTGTGTTGTTGAAGTTTCTTGTTGGTTTGGTGCATGTTCCCGGATGGATTTATGAGTTGAATCTAGTGTATATTGAGGGTTTTTAATGATTCTAAGTGATTGGGGAAGAAGCCATTTGATTTTAGGCGAAATAGGGTGAGAAAACGAGAAAATGAACATGCTGAAATTTCTGGGTTGGGGGCCTGGCGCGATGCGCCGGCCAGAGTGCCCCAAACTCATCTCTGAAGTTTTAGGGCTGGCGCTCCGCGCCTTGCAAAGCGCCAAGGATGCCAAGACCTCTCTTTTATCCCCCACTTTCTTATGCATGTTCCTAGGTATTGTACCTATGTTTCCTAGTTGTTTCCAACACTCCAAGGTACGTTTAAATGTCAAGAACTCATCTATAAACGTGTGGTCATATACCTTGAATCCATAATCCAATTCAAGGCGTCATATACCTTAAATCCGTAATTCAATTCAAGGCAAGTTAGGATCGAAGTTAAGGTGAAGTTAGAGCATAGTCAAGTAAAGTTAAGAAGTAAGTCCAAGCAAGTCTTTAAAGCTTTTCAAAAGTCGTTATTGAACGTTATAATGTCGTTTTATGGTTCAAGTTGCAAGTCAAGCAAAGAGTATAGATTTTCAAGTTGAGTAAGAGTCTCAAGTTTCAAGTCGAGCAAGAGTCTTGGGTTTCAAGTTAAGTCAAGAGTTTAAAGTTGAGTCCAT